CGCGCTGCTCGCCCCGCCACCGCCACCGCCATGGCCAGCTGTGGCGGCCGCGAGCGAGGTGACCAGCGCCAGCGGAGAGGTCTGCGCTGAGGCCGCTTTCGGGGGGTCGACCGCTAGCAGGGCGTCGATGCGGAAATTTTTGGATTTTTCCATCGGCTTGTTAGGCGCGCAGAGGCTGGTGGAAGGTGGCGGTGGCGTGGGAGGGCGCGCTGAGGCTGTGGGTGGCGGCGACCAGCCCCAGACTTGGGAGTAGGAGTAGGAGTAGTTGGTAAGGATCTGAAGCGCTGGTGGGATTCAGCCGAGGGTAACCATGGCCGCGGCTGCTCTGCGCCCCGGCTGCGCTCGCCCACCGCGCACTCGCTCTCACTCGCCCTGGCAGCCGCACGCCGGCTCCGCAGAGCCCGGCTGCTCTGCCCTCCAGCCCCTGGGGCACCCACTGCAAGATGTCGCTGGCGCCGTAGTAAGAAACCAGGCGCCCAACTCTTCTCACTTGAAGGCACAGCGCGGCCGCCGATTGGCGCGCGGGGCCCAGGGGGCGCCCAGGGGAGGCGCCGGCGGCGGCCCGTGCCATTGGCCGCCGCGCGCACCTGTCAACGTCGGGGGCCCACGGCCCGCCCCTGCCCGGCCGGACTGGAGCTGCGGGGTCCTAAAACTTGCTGGGGCCCGGGTCGTGACTGCGGGGGGCACAAGGACCGACTCCCAGTTTACAAAACTTGGAGATGAGGCCAACAGGGTTCTGGTTCGCCCTTTCAAAGTGATTTTGCATCAGGAAGGCAGAAAGGCTAGTTGCTGGGGTCGCGCTCTGCGGCAGGAGGCAGTGGCGGGGATTGAAAGGGGCAGGATACTGACTCTAGACATACACCTGCTGGGGCCAAGGCTTCATTCACTTTCGGCTTCTGAGAGTCCATCTTCCTGCGTTCTGGGTCCGGATGCGCCGCTCTGCTAAGCCTAGGAGATCTTTATGGTCCTTAGCTGTGCGCATGGGTGTGAGCACTTCGCTTTCCCTTCTGCGGATTGCATCTTTTTTATCTCCTCTTGGACGTTCAGGTGTGTGTTCGTTTGGGGTGTTGTAGGGGGTGGGGTGTAAAGGTGAGTGAAGGTGTGTATTTTTGCCTCTTTCCTCCTCATTGTGAATCTCCCGCCCTGTCAAGTCAGAGAGGACAGATTTTGCCCCAGATTTACAGACTCAACAACGCGTTGGCTGCGAAAGAGATGTGCCACTTTGTGAGCCATCGGTGGTGAAGGATCCAGAGTGAGCTTTCTCTGGACACAAAGCTCTTCCTGTCTGCGGGCAAAAATATCTGTGGGTCTCGGGAGGACGGCAACTCCTGGGTTCAGTCCGGGGTTTACCACAGAACCTTTCAGCTTTAAAACGGGCCTTCTAGAATCTGACCTGCTTATCTTCTCAGGCTTCTCAAGACAAGGAAAATGCTGGCAGCTTCTAGGAAGTTAAGAGGAAAAGCTCACTAGACCGAGCAAGGTATTGAAGTGAGAGTTGAGATTTCAGACTTTCCTCCCATTCGGGTGTACTCTTGAAGGGACCATTCTCCGGAAAAGGACATTATGCCTGGTTAGAGAGGGGTCAGTGAAAAAGAAGAAAACCCTCAACAAGATGCATTGAGACAGTGACTGCTTTAATAATGGGCTGGAATATAGCACTGATTGTGAGGGTGGTGCAACATGAGGCGGTGACGTTCTGTTTTGCATAAAGTCTCTATGACCTAAAAGACTCCATGGCACCCAAAACAACAACCTACATACTCACTTCAAATATGTAAAAGCACTTGTGTGCTTTTAGATGAACCCAAAGAATCAACACCTGTGGGTCAGGGTGTCAAGCTGGCCTCCTTCAGTGAGGCACTGTCAATAGCACCATTAAACTCACTTATCTTCCCCAGCAGGTCTGCATTGAGAATGAGAGAAAGAGGTTCAAGTGTCCTGTGTAACTGAATGCTGGATAAAGAGTAGGGGTTGCTTGGGGGAGAGTAGACTTTAGGAAGGGAAATTAGTGTCAGGTAAACGTTAAAATTAACAAGTCAGGTTGATTTTAAGGAAAACTTTGAAACTCACACAAGAAGCTAAATATAAACACATTGTAAGTTTTCTTCAAAAGACTTTTTCTAGGTGCGAGTTGATTATAATGCATATGTTATAAAGGGCATTTCTTTTTAACAGTTGTTCTGAAATACATAGTATGAGCTTATAAGGATGGCAGAAGATATATGACACTAACTAGGATGAAATATTACATAGCTTTGCAAAAACAAATAGAAGTTGCAGTCTTTATATTTGTCTTGACTTCGGATGGTATCTCTTTAGGATGATAAAAGTTTGGTCTTGCCTTTATGAAAATAAAGAAGACACATTTCTTAAACACCCACTTTATATTAAATATATATTTTAAAAAATTGTATATTTTTAAAAGCCCTTTATTTTCATCTTCCTTAATCTTCACTATGACGCTAGAAAGATGTGTTTATGACACTTCAAGGACAAATCTACCATCTTTGTTTTATAGAGTTCAGGTTCAAAGAAATGCTCATCTCTAGTAGATAGTAGAATTGAGTCTGACTTCAGAGATCAGGATGTTTTCATACCACTCTTGTCCTCTGTGCATCTGGAGTATCCAATCTCATTTTTCCATTCTGTCTGGTCTTCAGGGAATAAGGGTTGGAAAGATATTTTCATTCCTTAGCCAACCGTTTTTAGCAAGAAACATTGTGAAGCGGGGTAATGAAGTTTCAGTTGTCACCTTCACTTGCCAACACAGGACTGAAGCCCCAGCCCCACCTTCTCAAGGGGTTTAGCTCTAAGATAGTCTTTCCCCCAGGTCTTATCCTCCTTCCCCACCTATTGGGGCAGGTTAGTTAATCTTGGTGGCAATAATTTAGGATATTGGGGCAGGAAAAGCTACAAAAAAACTCTAAACAACCCATCCCAAAACAACCACCACAAAACAAAAAAAAACACCAAAAAAAAAAAAAACACAACAAAAAAAAACCACAACCACCACAAAACAAAACAAACAAACAAACAAACAAAAAACAAAAAAAAAATACAAAAACACCGAAGAGCTATTTTGAAGAAACTGGTACCACTCTCTTACTTCAAACAACCACTGCTGTCATTATCTCTGGTGATAGGGGGTAGGATGCAAAATAGATTCCATAAAACCTCCCAATCTTCCTCAATGAAGTTGACCTCTTTTAGGAATAGTTCCCAGAGGTATTCATTTCACATTTTTGTTTGAGCTCTCAAAATCATTCATATCTCATTCTTCCACTCTACCTAGGACACACTGGTGCACCTTGTTGAAAACACAGATGGGAACAACATTGTAAGGTTGAATCCAAAGAGTGGACTGAAGGCTGAGCCAGGAGTCCTCCTTCTGGTTGTCCCTGCAACTAGTGGTGTGATCTGAGGAATTGATGTTCCTAATGATTGCCATTTCATGGTCTAAGTGGCTGCTGACAGAAAGGTTGGGGATTGGTGTTCACCCAAAGATGCTTCAAAAGAAAGACCAGGCAATTCACTTACCCCAAAATAAAACCTGGCAGCCCTATGAAGTTCTACACTGATACACATCGGTCTCCACGGCAGCTGGTACTGGTTACCAAGAAAAAGTAAAAAGCTTGACCAAGTAGACCCTTTGGTTCTAAAAGACTTTAAAGATTATTGGATATAGTGGTTCTGTTTTTTTAAAAAGTAATACATACTGGAAATTCTCTGTGAATTTGTGTGCAGAAGAGGGAAGAAGGGGGATCCTGGAAGTTTGGGGTCTTTGTATGGTTTACAATGTGTGAAGCTGAGCAAGCTGGGATCGCTTCCTGTTCCCAGCATCTGTATTGACCCAGCCCAGCAGGCTTTGAAAGAGGTTTTGGGTAGACAGGAGCTGGGGTTGGGTCCAGAAAGGGCTGGAATGAGAGATCAAAGCTTTGGTTTGAGCCTTACTCCCAACCGAGGTTTGGAGGTTTCGTTTCAGGTCTCGAGGTAATTATTCTCCCCCTGCAGCCCCAGGGGCAGAATCCAGCACTGAGAGGGACCGGAAGAACTCTTGGCTTCCCTGGAACTCTACAAAGATCTGGTGTATCTTTAATCAGGCTCCCACCTCAGCCCCCACCAATGCCTGGTCAACTCCCTTTCACTTTCCACCTCCTAGTTTTTAGACACTGAATTTTGCCTGCAGTTGTCCTTCCTCCCACTTACACCCAGGGAGAGGCAGTATTTATGCAAACAATCTCAAAAGAAAAAAAGCTGCTTTTAATCTTTGTCTATTCATGTTTGCAGGCCTCTGGGGTACAAAGAGCCCAGGTGGCAGAATATGTAAGGTGTTGGACTTAAGTCTGCAAAGTTGGCAGCTCGAGCTCACCAGCAGCTCTTAAAGAGAAAGAACACTTCAGAAACCCAAAGGAGGATCACCATGAGTTGGAATTTACTCAACAATAGTGGATTCGTTTTCTTAGTGGGTCACACAGATGGTTCATGTTCCTCTTCTACCCTAAAGGCTGACTAAACCTGCCCAGTGGCACCTCCAGAGAAAGGTCCTTCAATTCCTTCTGTAACGGTTACAGCCATGTAAAGATTCCTAAGTGACGTTAGAAACCTGTGAGGGTCTTTAATCCAACTTCTATGTTCATATATTCAAAAAGTGGAAGACAAGTGTCATTAGTGGCAAGAAGCTGCGCTGCAATTGTGAAGGACACCAGCCGCTCTTTGGGAGAAGGATGGGCAATCCTCTCCAATTAACTCCTGCAATTCTGTCTCTGAAAAGCCTCTGCAGGGTGGGGGATAAGTTATGGGTCAGTTCTGATTCCACAATGTATGTTGCTTATTTTCGTGTGCAGTGAGGTCCAATAGAGTGATTGCTTCATTTAAAGGCAAATCTGAGATGGGAATTTCGAGGCTGGGGACAGAGATGTTTTCAGAACTCAGGGCCACCAAACAGAACCACACTGTTCAGAAGGGCTCCCAGAAAATTTCTGTACCCTGCCTTGCTGAAATTGTGCACGTCCAGTGGATTCACACAATTAAGCCTCAATTTCACTTTATGAAGAAATGTACTTTTTATTTGGTTTTCCCTTCAGGAAACTGAGTCATGGAGAGTCTAGAAAAAAAAATTATAAACAGCAGAGCTCTGGATTATTCTGCAGTGA